TTCTCCCACCGTATCACACCCACAATCTATTTTTGTATACAACACTTTTAGCCAAAATACATAAATTTTCAAAGAGGTTCCTGCAGAGTACTGTAGATATTTAGGATGCTAATACTTTCCCTTTGAATAACCAACTCTCGAACTTAGATTCTCTCCCCCTCTTTTATTTGGGTTATCCGCTCTTTTCCCATTCCTCTGGAAACAATAAAGCGCGGTGGTGGTTTTTATTTGATCTGTGCGAGTCAAGTCAATCCAATGGCGTTATCTTAACATTTCTACTGCTACACCATGCATCGAAAAACACACATCAACCTCTCCTCAACATTCTTCAGGCACAACATAAACCCTTGCATACAAAATCCACACTTAAGGTGTACCAGGTCAACATAAGTTTGAAAATAAATCAAACCAAAAAAATAGCTCTCCATCATAACTACAAGCCTAACACAACAAACATGTCCAATCCACATCCTGTCACGAATAGTCCATCCTCCACTTCAAGGGAACATTCAAAAACAATATGAACTATCCAAGTTCAAAAATCTTTTCAGTAGAAACCTTCTACCTTGCACATAGACCAGAAAGATCCCCCACGAATCTCATCCAGAAATAGACAGGATGTCTACTCTGATACCAATTAAAATTATGGTAGGTCAGAACTTCAGATGTCCTATGACATGTTGGGACATATGATATGACTTCAACAACATAAACAAGGTATAAACATACAAAACAATATTGAAAAGCAATAAACAACTCACAGAAGTTGTTAACCCAGTTTGGAGCAACTCTCATACTTTGGGGGTATACCAAGCCAGTGAAAAGTCCATTATGATATTATCAATTCATAGACCCTACAACAAACATATCGATTTAAGATCTACTCACTTAATCACTACCCGTGCTATAATTCTATCTAAAACTCACCTATATATGAGGCCCTCCTCAATCCCCTATCAATCACAAACAATGATTTGACAAATAGGAAGACACACTTCCATGACAGCAAAACACAAGACACACTTCCATGATAATACTCAGTCAAGACACTTGACAAGAACACAACTTAGAGTTACTTAAAAGCTTCCTCCAAGAACAATACTCAACTTATTACTTCACACTTTTGAGTGAGAACACAGTGACCATCTCACAACCTGAGAGGTTCACTTACACCAACTTTCCTAAAGAGTGGCTACAAACTCAACCCTAATGACTACGTCTTTATAATTCACGGCTGGTACAAATCTTAGGTTACAAACATTCTATTTATAACCTATTTTCAACTGGATTTGGGCTTCTAATCACATCACATCAACTGTTACAAATCAACAGAAACTTCTGCTACAAACAAGATCTTAAATCATTAGTTTCCTAAATGTCTCCATATTTAGAAACTACATAATTTTCAATACTCAGACTTGATTCTTCTTGACCTTTAAATCAGAGCCATATATGATTGCATAATATTCCCAAAATATTATGCATCTTGTTAATCGTAATTGAATTCATTAATCCAGCTCAGCTCAGGCGCAATGTCATATGCTCTTTCATAGGTCATCTGATCCGACATGTTTCTCCAGATGATGATAACTTCTCATCTCAACATGTATTAACATAAGATATGACTTCTTGCTCAACCTATTCCTGTTAGCAAGTTAATACATCATATCTAACATATTGCTTCTATATTAGTTTTACCAGACATAATTCCAATCACATAATTTAGAGAATTAACACTTTACAATAAGTTCGGTAGGAATCATAATCATGTTGTCCTGTTCGAAAAAAACAACATGTGTTTGTACTCGGTCTCCTCCAATTAAATTCACATTATAAGTTTGGCCAGGAACAACATCACGACTGTCATCATCCAATCCTAAATTCATGAATTTGGTATGAATTTCCGGAGAAATCACCGTGTTGTTATCTGAGACAAGCTCATCCAGATAACTCTCCATCATGTTCATGCCATTTTCATTCTTATCCCTGAGGACGTGGATAGTGCCATTATCCATCAAAACTTGAAGGTCTCTTCTTACTTTAGAACAACCTCGTGAGTCTCTATAATAAACCCGACAAGATCCATAGTTATGCCTTGCGAAATTTCCCCCTCTGCACAAAGTAGCATGCATTTGCACAAAATCCGCTCTTACCAAGTTTATATCAAAAACTTGGTACTGGACAAAACATCCATACACTATGTTCATAATCTGTTGATCGTCATATGGTATAATTGCAATAATGTTGTCAAGAAGCACATTGTCTGAGGGTCTGTCAAACTGAATGAAATTTTGATCGATTATTTTTTGAATTCTTGTCTTTAAATCATCACATCCCTTGGGCTGATACCCACACTTCTTGCAATTTATAGCATAACCAGGAAAAATGTCGCGCTCAAGCAACTTCTTCTTGATGAAGGATAAGGGAATTCTCAACTGATTCACATCTTTCACCAAGTTCAAACCTCCATATCTCTCAATGGCATTTGCGGCTAGACCGTGGTGAGTCAACATCAGATTTTGTATTACATTTGACTGACCGTTTGGAGTAAACTCGATGGCCTTTGAGTCAAGCAAATCTTGTACCTTATGCTTCAAGATTCTACAATTTCCAATATCGTGACCAGGCGCTCCAGAGTGAAAGACACATATTGCGTTAACATCATAATTATATATGATTTTAGAATATATTTTAAAAACAAATATTTATAATTTAAGGTTTAAGAATACTCCTACAAATAATAGGAAAATCTCAAAAAATAAATAAATAAATAAATATATATATATATATATATATATATATATATATATATATATATATATATATATATATATATATATATATATATATATATATATATATATATATATATATATATATATATTAACAGATTTTTTCTCTAATGAATTAAATATATCTACAATAATTTAAAAACGTTTCTCTCTACTATATTTCAGGTTTAATTAATAAGTATATAAAATTTCAAAAAATAATATAAATTATTTTAGAATATATGCCAAAAGAATAACACTGAATTAAATATCCCCACAAAGAATAATAAAAGAATTGAAATAATAAATTTAATTCAATTAATATTAAAACCTTTTGATTGTATTTAAATGTTAAAGTTAAGAAGTTTTAGTATATAAATATATTAAAATCAATCTATTGAAACAAACAATCATTAGTTATCATAATTGTCAAAGACAAACTATCATTTTTTTTTACGTATATTTCTAAATTTCATTCTCAACCTTTCAATTCAATCATAAATAAAAATAGAAGACGGTTCGAATTAGTTAATATATATACACCTTATGAGCAATCCATTTAATATAAATGTAAATTTACAGAAGAATTACCTCTCACACTTTTGTGATTTTATTTCGGACTTTAGTTTCTTTCAATACAAGATGAGTCTGTATTATGATATTTTAATATATCTTATACTCCGCAGATTATACATATTTCGAAGGAATATAAATATAATAGTGGTTAAAGTCATATCAAATATATATAAAAGAGTATATAATATTTTAACAAAAATAAAATAAGCAGAAGATAATAACTACTATAAATTTGAAAATAGAGTAAGAGTTTTGCATATTGTAGGATAAAAATTATTTTTCAAACTGTTGTAATTTTTTCGTAAATTATGTTTTTCCCCACTAAAATTATGAGATTATTTTAATAATATTTTTATATATTTTATAACGTACATTATATGTATTGATTATACACATTATATGTATTCATTATACACATTTTAGATGAATACATATGGACATTTTAAATAAATACAGATGAAATTGTAGTTTATACATATTTTGAATAAATACAGATGAAACGGTGATTTATACACATTTTGAATGAACATATTCAGATGGAATAGTGATTCAATTTATATCCTATATGGAAAAGTATAATATTTTAATATAAATAAAATATTAAAAAATATAATTATAAATACAAACTTCTTTTATGAGTTGTGTTTGATAGAATAGTGATAATTGTTTATGATAATATTTATTTATTTTTAAAGTGTTATTACTTTCGTCACAATGTGTTAATAATACAAATATATTTTTATTTTTGAATTAAATTAATATAATAAAATATAACATATAATATTCATTTGTGTCTATTTTGAAAGAATTAGTATATGATTAAAATATTTTTTAAATATGTAAAAAATATATGTATATTTGATATAATTCTTATTTATAATTTTGAACAATTTAACTTAAATGATAAAGGATAAATTTTTATTTTTCTTTTTAATTAAATTTATTAGTAAAATTTGAAAAGTCAAGATGAAATAGAGTTAAAATTTATTGTAGTTAATTAAATTTTTTATTAAAATATATTTAAAATTGAATTTATACAAGTCTAAATTATTTTATATCATTTCATATTTTTTACAAATATATTTATATAACGTTTATGTTATGTGTTTATTTTCTAATTTTAAAAAATTTAATAAATACTTAACAAAATAAAAACGTAAATTTAATTCTTCTATACAACTTACAATTAAATAGACATTTTAATGGTAATAATTGATATTTATAAACACTAAATGAAAAATAAAAAAAATCGTTAATAGTTGATTTGCGTATAAATATAATCATGTTTTATTACATTGATTTTTGAATTTTTTTCCTATTATAAATTTAATTTTGAATTTTTTTTCATATTACTTTACTACTCTTTCATTCTCACATGTTATTTAAATTATTGAAATTGTTTATTATTCATATGAGAGAATTAGAATATTCCCATTTTATAATTTTATATTTATAAATTTAAAATTCACACGTTAAAAAAACCACTGTTTACAAATAAGAGCACCTAGTTTTTAAATCCGAAGCTGATGTAGTGGGTCCCACCTAGTTAACAGCTGTGAAAAAGTGTCACTCTTTTTCTTAACCTTTTCTCTCTCTTATAAACAACACTTCAAAACCCAGCAACTCCCTCTCCAAAAACCTATCCAAACAAAAATGGCGAAAACCAAGGGTTTCAACATTCTCCACAACCTCATCGACATTGCCACCGAAATCTCTCAAATCTCCGCCTTCCATTCCCTCATCAAAACTCAGTCCTTCGATCTCAGCCGTAGGATCACTTTCCTCATTCCCCTCTTTCAACACCTCGCCAACGACGTCGTTTTTGTTCCTTACGAAACTCTCGTTTCGCTTCAAGAAGCTCTTCTCTCAGCTAAAGACTTGCTTCGGTTTTGTTCTAGCTCAAGCCAGCTCTACATGGTTTGCATTGCTTGCTATACTCTTCGTTAGAAAAATTACTAATTTTTATTTATTTATTTTTTAAATTAGGGTTTTTTTGAATTTCTATTTTTTGAGCTATAAATTAATGCAATTCCATGTTTGTTGCTATAAATTATGATATACTGCATGGTTCATTAATTGTGGAATGCGAATTTGAATTATGATACAGTGTTATTTTTTTCTTTCTTTCTGATTGGTTTTGTTGCTTGCTATTGTAGATATTGGAGAGGGAGAAAGTTAAGTGCAGATTCACGGATCTGGCTTCACATTTTGAACAAGCTATAAACGAGATGTCGTATGACAAACTTGATATTTCTGAGGAGCTAAAGGAGCAGGTGAAATATTTTATTTGCATAGAATGTATCTATGTTGAAATGTGTGAGTGTGCCTTATTTTTATATTTATATAGGCTTATTTGAACTTGTAGTCTGGCGTGGAATAGATTTTGTAGTTTTGGTCGATTGAGTTACAAGCATGCGAATTTGGGTTACTTATCTTCTTGTTACCATTTTGTCTGTCTGTCTATTAATTGTCCGAGTATTAATGCTGTTGCAAGTCTATGTGACCAATGTTAGCTGACCTGGTCTAACATGGCATGAGGATGTGTTCAAAAAAGGACACCACACTCAGCATTGATAATTTGAGTGCACAGGAACTTCACAAAGGTATCATGATTAGATTAGGGTTATATTATATGCACAACCCAGGTTTTCTTAAAGATAGTGAATCAAAGAGGGGTTAGAGCATATCCTTCTATTTCAACTGATTGGAATGAAAACCGCCTATGGAGTCCAGAGAAATCAAGTTGTTGGTTGGGGGACCCAATTCGCGCCACTGAAATTCTGGGGACTAAAATTGATAATCATGATACTTGAGAGATCAAAACTGCAAATATTTCATTCTTTTATGAATAATGCATTAGAGTGTGGTTCTTATCATGTTAGGTCGTGTTGGGTTTAATAAAACAAAATGAGTATGAGATGAGGGTTTTGAAGTTAAAAATGAATGCATGAAATATTTTCTCAAACCTGACAAGTCCCTTGATTTCTTATTTATCTGTTGCTAATTGCTACCTCTTCTTCAATCTCGAGGTATTTATTTTGTGCTATTATTGTTGTCATCAGGTTGCACTTGTGGTTGCTCAGTTTCGAAGGGCCAAAGAGCATTTCTATCCACCTGGTCTGGAGCTTTATGAGCACCTGTTGTCTATCTATAACCAGAACTGTGATGTGACTACTGAATCTGATGCACTGCGTTTAATATGTGAAAAACTACAATTTGTGAGTGCTGAAGATATTGAAAAAGAGTCACTTGCTCTTCATAAGGTGATTGTTGATGGGGGTGGTTATTATGAGAAAAGCTTGCAGGGATTGTCAATGGTGCTGAGAAAAATTGAAGATTTTTTGTTGAAGGACTCTGAAAATAAGGAAGATGGTTGTTTTGAGAAAAGCACACAGGTGTTATCGAGTGGGGATTTCCCTCCTCACACTAATTATCCGTGCGTGAAATTATGTTGTCAGTCACCAGTTGTGCCAGAGGAGTTTCGCTGCCCAATATCTCTTGAGCTAATGAATGATCCTGTCATCATTTCCACAGGGCAGGTTTGTAGTTGAGAAGCAACTGCTTATTTATTTTCTCAACAATTAGTTTTTATGACGTTTATCTTTAAGCATGGTAAAAGTTTAGATCTCTCATGACATGCTGATATATTTAGGTTCTTGGTAGTCTGCATTTGAAATTAAAAAAAAAAAACCATTATTATGCTATGGTGTGAGATTTTTCTAAATTGTAGCTTAGAAGCACTTTTTTTTTGCATTGTTAAGATACTCCTATGAGTTTAAGTTATAAATTTTAAAGAGCAATTAATAACCAAGAATGGTGCCCTGTAAGAAACTGCAAGAACAGTGAAGAACATATCTCTTGCAAAAAAGTGATGTGAAGATTTTAGTACTTTAAATCAAGGATCAAGATCTTGAATAAATTGAACTGTAAAGACATAAAAGGTTCTCTCCTATTAATCTTTTAAAAATTTTTTTTTTTGAAAGCTGTTTTAGAAAATTTCTTATGTTGATTATTGACTTCATTTATTACTATATAATTTTATAATAGATTTGATAGTATTGTGTAATACCGGTACTATCAACTGTTAATTGCTACACAAGATTGTATTATTAGCTCGTGATGTAAAGCTCAAATGATTAACTATTTTACTTATTGGTACTTTCAAACTAAAATACTTGGATACAATTAAATGAAACTTTAGCCATTGCCTATTAAAGTTTGAGTTTCCATAATGGATAAACATACTTGGGAGACCAAATGGATCTTTTTTGCTTTACACACTAATTTAAGTTATTGCTGGAAATGGTTAAGAAAATATCCGTATTCTCCTTTCCGTTCAAAAGCACAAGTAATACTATGTTGTTACTGTGAGCAAGCATATTAGCATTTGAAACAGTCATTTGTTTCCTTATTTAACAGTTTGAAATATGGGGACAAGTGAGTCTTGGCCAGTTGCAGAGATCACTAGCTATCAAAATATCTTGGTTTGAAGGGGGGTGTAGGAAGAGTAGTGAATTTTGAGAGATCGAAGTCTTTGTTGTGTTGATAGCAGCGATTTATTAGAAACCAATTTTTTTCTAATAATTGAAGAGACTTGTATGATATTATTTAGAAAACTTTCATATTTAGACACTTTATAATCCTATTATTATCCCTTTCTGCAGACATATGAACGAGCTTGCATTAGGAAATGGCTTGATACAGGGCATCGAACATGTCCCATTACTCGGCAGATTGTTTCCAGCCCCATTCTCGTACCTAATCATGTTTTGTACAACCTGATATCAAATTGGTGCGAGGCAAACGGAGTTGAACCACCTAAAAGGTTAGAAAGTTTACGGCTATGTAAGGAAACATCAGATGGCTCCTCTGAATTAATAGACCTTGATGTCTTAATGAGGAGACTTATCTCCAGATACATTGAGGATCAGCGATGTGCAGCAGGTCAGCATTGTACCAAACACTTATTCTTCAATTTATTTGATTTATAAACTTTTTTATTTGCAGTCTGCAATTGTACAATGGTCACTTCTTTTCTCCATATAACTGGAACTAGAATTGTTTTTCCATTCATTATACGATTTTATAATAATGATTTGGATTTAATAGATTACATTTAGGGTTTTATTAGATTGATTAATGCTAGAAAGCATGTTGTATTAGGTTAGTGATAAACTGGTACTAAACATAGAGATTTAATAGCAATAATCTGATTTCAATTGCAACAATCTTTGGACTGCTGTTTCAGAATAGAGGACAAGTTCTTTTACAATACAACAAATTAGGAAGTAACACAAACGATTACAAGACAATTCCTATCCAAGAGATTTGAGAGTCTTGGTCTCTCCACTCCAAGAACTAGAGAGATTGGTCTCTCACAACCAACATCCAGTTCAAATTAATAGCCTACTGATTTTTCCTTCAATGTTTCTATTTATTCAAAATCTGTCTAAACCTAATAACATAATTGCGTGCCTAATAATTGTTAAGAGTCCCACATCAGACAATATATGGCCTGAACATGTCCTTATAAGTGGGGGCAATCCTCACCCTACAAGCCTGTTTTGTAGGGTTGAGTTGGCCCGGCTCACATTTTAAGATGGTATCAGAGCTTGATTATGGGCCCACCACGCTTCCGTTGCGCCACTCTGGTGGTAATAGAGTATATATTTAAAAGTATTCTGCTTAAAAGAAGAGCATAAAAAGTAAAAAACTCAATCATAGACTTGGCAATTGGACAAAGAAGTGCTGCCCTACCAAAATATTGTGTAAAAACTCAATCATAGACCTGGCAATTGGACAAAGGAGTGCTGCCCTACCAAAATATTGTGTAAAGAACTTTAAGCTGAAACTTTAAAGGAAATTATTTATGTACATATATAGTACTATAAATTACTTAAAATACTTAAAATCAATATTATAATATAACCTCATGTAATATATATTTTAAGTATTAATTGTTTAATAAATATAAAAAATAGGTTAGAATAGCTGCTTTCTGCTAAATCCCTTTCCCAGTTTCCCCTATCTCAGTTTTAGAGTTGCCCGCTCTGCACCGCTGAGATTAACAATTTAGCTTGTAAGGAGGAGTGTCATTCTTTATAAACTCTTTTTAGGTCTTATCTCTTTTCAATGTGGGAGTTGGGTTTTTCAATATATTGAAGAGTATTGTGGGTAGTCAAGCGAAGGAGGGGTTTGCAAGCAATAGACTGATATTTGAGGGGGTACGGTTGCTGGCTTCATGGGCGCTACTGCTGTGAAGGGAACATAACCTATTGAAATTAGGATTTGGGATTTGGGAATTGGTTCATGATGTGGTTACGGCCAGTGAATTTTAAGTTAAAATAGATGAAAATATAAAGTAGATGACGAGATGAAGAAAATAGTCAATGGCATCAGAGTTATGCTCAGCATCTTCAACTGGCCTTCTAGAACATGTTCTACATTAGTAACTAAGTCGTGATCCTTTGAAGGTTGAGACACTACTAAATCTATAATGGAAATATGAAAGGAAAATACCCCTAGGACTGGAAGTTAAGAATTAAATAAGGCTTGGCATACTACATGCTAATCCCTATCAGTGTATAAAAGTTATGTCTGGGTACACCAATTTGATGTTAATAGATACTATTCTCTCGGGTTAAGCTTTTTTACATCATTTCCAAATGTGGTGCACACCTACAAATGGTGATCTGGTGACATCCGTGGTAAATTTAATGTAGATACAGAATGGGGGTTACTCCTGTTGGTACTCACCTGCAATTAGTGATCTGGTGAAATCTATGGTAGATTTAATGTAGACACATTAAATCTACAATTAGTGATCTGGTGAAATCTATGGAAGATTTAATGTTGATACATAATGTGGGTTACTCCTGTTGGTGTGAATTATGTGAGTTAAATATGCTCGGATATAAATTGTACATTCAGCGATAAAATTTAAGGTGGGACGGATCTTGTTTTTGGTAAACTAAATGTTAGGATGAGGGGAGTTTCTTTCATTGTAAGGTCAAGATATGCCACAAGACTTAGCAGGAATCAAACCCTAGATCCTCTTGTCTACAGTATCCAAATCTTCTCGTGAAGGGATCTTAAATTTGTTGTAAAGGGATTTTGTTTTGACCTTTTGATATCTTTATAATTTGAGAAAAAATACTTCTACCACGATCTCTCAAACCCCCATGCTTGCATTTCCTAATGATGTCTTACTAATAATGAATGTCTTTATCTTCATTTTACTGCAGGGGAGCTCCGTCTTCTTGCTAAACACAACAGTGAAAATCGAAAGTTGATTGCTGAAGCTGGTGCTATACCCCTCCTCACTGATCTCCTCTATACTCCTGATGCTGGCACCCAGGAGCATGCAGTTACTGCTCTTCTGAATCTATCTATCTACGAGGAAAACAAAGAGCGCATCATGGCTTCTGATGCTGTGCCGGGAATCCTTTACGTGCTAAAAAATGGTAGCATGGAAGCTCGGGAAAATGCAGCAGCCACCTTTTTCAACCTCTCTTCAGCAGATGAGAACAAAATGATAATCGGTGCATCTGGAGCAATCCAGGCTCTAGTTACTCTCTTCTGCGAAGGAAGTCAAAGAGGAAAGGTTGATGCTGCATCAGCTCTATTCAAACTGTGTATATACCAAGGGAACAAAGGACGTGCTGTTAAGGCTGGTATTGTACCCAAGTTGATAGAAATGTTAACAGAACCAGGCGGAGAGATGAGGGGCGAGGCATTGGCAATACTAGCTGTAATAGCTAGCCACCCGGACGGAAAAGCCGCAATTGGATCCATGAATGCTATTCCTATTTTGGTGGAACTAATCTGTAATGGATCTTATAGGAACAAAGAGAATGCGACTTCGGTGCTTGTATGCATCTGCAAAGGAGATCCACTACACCTACCGATTGTCGCATCACATGAAGTGATCAATCCTCTCATGGAACTGGCCGCAAATGGTTCAGAAAGGGGCAGGCGCAAAGCTGAACAGCTTCTTGAGCTGTTAGGCAATTAGAGACCATTGTGAATATACAATGGCAACTGTCAGCTAGCTTTTTGGTGCTGCTGTTGTCTCTGTATGTTGCTGCTGCTGGTATAGATAGTAATGATGTGATTTACAAATATTTTTAGGAAAGAGTTAGCAATATTTCCTTTTTATTTTTAGTTAAAAGGAAAATTTGATTTCAGTGAACCAATTATTTTGCTGAATTGAATCACTTGTTTTAGAAAGCTGGTAACAAGTGTTCAGGCAACAATTTGATTATTGTTTAAGTACAGATATTTGTTTCATTGTTTAAGAATATTGAGGGCCCATGATTACTTATTTTAGTGTCGGTTTTGGGTTATTTAGTTATGCATATGAATGACATCGAGGTAGATCTGTGGTACTAAAGTGTTATTTTAGATAATTCTTTTTAATTCAATTTAGGTTGTTATAGTATTTTTAAAATTAAAGATATATTAATAATAAATATTTATTTATTATTTTCTATAAAAACACTTTCAAAAAATGCGATTTGTTTTTCTATTTTTCTCTAATTTTTTTACCTACAAAGCCTTTCATTTTTTCTTCTTACTAAACTTGCAAAAAGAATTTAAGAGTGAACCTTAAATTTTGTAAAAAAATAATGGTTTTTATAATAAATGTGATATTTAATGACAATAAAATTCACTTTTAGACCAAAATCATATTAGTATATCATGATATCTCATTGTTTAGCTACCGACAAAAATGTGTCTGTCCTTAATAATAATAGCATATAAACCAATTATGATTATCATTCAAGAGCCTCATTTGTTGAAAAAAAATGTACATCAGTCGAGATGTGGCGTACCGTAAAAGGACCCAAGATATTTGTTCTAAGAAAGAAATTCTAATAATTCTCCTCTAAAACACATTGCAATTACTTTTTGCAATTGAATGTCACATTAACAGTTTTTTAAGCCTCATATGCCCTATAATCTTGTCTTTCGGTGGTATGTCTCATTCACAAATTTGGCACCTTATTGTTGCAAGTGGAAGTTTATTAATTGATGCATGTATTAGGAATCAGACAAGTCTCGATGTCGATTTCGACAGTGATATTATTGGAATCATTGTTGCTCGTGGAGACATGGTTACGTGATTATCTTTTAAGGATATGATGCTTGATTGAATAGCAATGCTTTCTAATTGATAAAATATATTGATAACGCACGATTAAATCATGATCATTAATGACAAGTAACTAACCAATTAATCCAGATGATTAAAACCAGATCAAACAAAAGGATTAAAAAAGGCTAGCATATATGTTATAAAGGTAAAACAATATTACCAACAAAGTTGGACCAGCATCATACATTGTTGAAATATGTATGTATGTATGTATAAGGTTAAATAATGTTAAAATTAGGTGGTTGTGATGCATTAATTATATACATTTTTTTATATTGACAATACATAACAATTAAACTCATGTTTTATTTTCAAAATTTTGTACATTACAAGATTCTGTGTTTGGTAAGTAAGCCTTTGTAGAAAGGGCCATTGGTGCAATGCGAACTTAGTGGAAAGCATAAAAAAATTGAGGTCTGTCAAAATATTATTTTGGAGGGAATTGATGGAAAAATACTATGGAAATTCGAAAATGTCTCCCTGATTTTAGAAATGTATTTTTGGATGTACCTTGATCACACCAAAATATGTCTCAATTGAGTCTCATCCTATATTTTTAAAAAATTTAGTCTGGAGGTGCATCTCCGGATTCTTCCATACTCACCCCATGCACTCCACACTAAAACATACTCATTTTGACATAAATTAATTTGGAGATGCATCTCCATATTCACACCAAACATGACTCAAAAATGCATTTCCGTATTTGTACTAGGCAATAATTTTTTACTTTGTTTAAGAGATACACTAATTTAAATGACGATACATTATAGCTATACTATCATATTCTATTTTATATAAATTAAAATATACACTAATTAAATAATATAAAACTGACATATATAAATAAATAAATACGGAGTACACAATAAAGTCTAAATAAAGTACAAACGATAATAGTGCTCCTAATACAAATACTATATACTACTGCATATGTCGGACATGGGCCCCCTGTTTTTACGATGCTTCATGTATTGCAGTGTCGTTCGTGCCCCCTCTATGATGACATCTAGAATATCCCTCGCCTTATAGCCATAAAAAAGACTCATCTATCTATAGTCGCCCGCACAAGCTCCATGATACAATGACATCTAGGCAACACATCATCAACATGGTATGTCATAGCCTGCGTCTCCTTTAGTATCCCCAAATGAGCTGATCTAGGTGAATCTTTCGGAGCCTCCGATGTCATATAAATATGTGACACCTTAAAATACCATTGGATGTAGTCGTGTGTAACACCCCAATCGTTAGGAACTACGGTACTCTGTGCTTCATCCTATACCAGATGATTAAGGTAATCATCAAACCTGACATCTACATCTTTCCGTGTCATAGCGGGAGGAGCAGAATCAGAGGAGTCTCTGGAAACAAACTGCATGCAACCAAACTTCCGTATGACGCGCTCAAGCAGATGTGGAAACATCACACATGACCCACAAACCAACCATAAAGAGTAGAAGGGCATACCGTCAAAGGGACGTGTCTCATGGTGATCGATGTACACCTGGAAGTATATATCCTCTCATACCATGCAGTCAAGATATACTTTGAATGAATTTTTCTCATGATTTCATCTGAGTGGAATGAAAGTAGAAGCACATGCATATTACTGTTGGGTGAAAATATGGAGTAGAGGAATAGTCTAGAGGGGGAAGGGGGTGGGAGAATAGACCCTTATTAAAGATCCGACCGATTTTCCAAAAATAGAATATAAAAGGTTTTTTAAAATGCGCGGAAGTCTCAAAGAGAAAATAGAGATTTTATGCTTGTATTGGAAGCCAACCATATTTACGAATACAAATTCAAAAATGTCACTGATTGTTCAAAGACAATACACAAAGTTGCATATAATGATTGATTGAATACATATTACACGAGGTGTGTCCTATACAATGATTCAATTAATATCGAATTCTAACACCACTAGTTTTCAGATTTCAATCAACACTAATGCTATATTAGGTACCAATTCTAAAAAAACATAACCTTACATAATAATTTGATGCCGAAATAATTAAATAATAAACACGATAAAAATTGATACCTAAGCATTCAATATCCTACAAAAATGAAAATACAAGAGTGAGAGAAAAAGTACACCGGGATGTATAGTGACTCGACTCTTTCATCCTCACAGGAGCATACTCCACTCTCTAATGGTTTTTCATTGAAAGTTTTTCTTCCATTATGTTTTGATAAATATTATTCGAGTTCATATAATCACTAATGCACAATAATGTCGAGAAAAATAAATCTCCTATCTGGATCTTGACTTATATACAACCTTTATACTGAACTCTCTATGAAATCTTTACGCCTTTCTTGCTTCTTGAATCTTTCAGCCTCACCAATCTACTCCAAGTTTTCGTGTGTGACAATCACCCCTGATCCCACTGATTTCTTGAGCGATGAAACTGGACATAGTCAAACAGGAAAACATAAAAAACTGTGTGATTCAAGTCTTGTAGAAAGTGTGATTTAAATCAAACTGGGCAGTGGCTAATATGAGGTGTGTGATTCAAATCAAGTGCAACTTGTGATCCGAGTCATAATGTTGCAAGATTTGAATCATGTGTAAAATATGATTCGAGTCAGAGACACCAAAAAAGTTCATGTTCTCCTCTGTTTGATTTGAGTCAAAAATTGTAAGTGACTCTAGTCACACAATAAATCTCAAATTTTCATATTTTTCAAAATAGTTTGAGACTTCACTTCCCACATAAGTTGAACCAATATCACATATGGTTCTTGTTTCATTGACTCAAGCAATCGACTTAAAACATCATACAAAACTCAAGTACAAGCAATTGAGTTATGCATGCTAAAAATAAATCGATTCACATAGGATATTAAGAACAATGATGTTGAAAGAAAGCTTACAAGGTAAGAGCTTTCCCCCCACACTCTCATGCTGCATAAGATTTGTCTTGTGAAATAGTGGTTAAACATTTGCTTATATAAAATAGGGTTAATACCCATTTCTCCTGTCATATGGGGAGAATCCAGAAAACAATCCTGTAAAAAAAATACATATTTTATCCTTGTCATTTATGTTAGAGCAAGAAAGCTTCTAAGCAATTCTTTGTTTTAATGATAACAACTATATATTTTGTGAGTAACAATTTTAGTACTACTAATGGTTTGATTGAGTGTGCAGATCTAATAACAAGAGACGTTTTATAAAAGAGTTTGCGCAAATATAAGCTCAGAAAGCTGAAGATACAAGAATCAGAAAGCTTCTACAACTGAATTTGTCTCTCAAATAAGCTGCTGCCTATACATCTGAAGACATGATCGTCCATCAAAAAGATTCTAACAACTTGACTAAAATAGATAAAGAATCAAAAATAGAAAGAAGCTGGAAGAATACATTCTCAACATTTTTGTCTCGCTGATCAAAAATATAAACACGCTTTCAAGGAGAAATCACATATCAAAATAAAAGCATTATATTTCAGATAAGCTGATGCCTATAGCTCTGAAAACAAGACATGTTCCTAAAGTTCAATCTATTATTTCTACGCTACATCAAATCAATAGTTTCTGAACTACTCATCAGAAGAACAAGAAAATCAATAAGTCTCAAGCTCATTACTCCAGAAACAGAAATAATATCTTCAGGAGAAATCAAGTTCTATACTGAAACAAGCTAAACAAAGATAAAAAAAGTCTAGATATATCTTCAGTAGTGATCTAATCAAAACTAGACAATAATCACAGTTTTCGAAAGAAGTTTCTATAAACACAATTTAAACCCCTATTTCTTGTGTTTTTCTCCACCTTTAATTTTTGGCCCCTCACTGAATTTGGTCAACTAAATATGTAATCAAATATGTGATGTGGCGCTGCTAAAT